GAGCCAGGTCAATCGAAGCGGCGGCCCTGCGGTGATGCACCGCTTCCCAGAGCCTCCGCGCTAGGAGAAGTTCCCCTTGTCGGAGGAGTAATGAGAATCGTAACGTCGCGCGGGCGACGTAACTTAGGCGCGAGGGTAACTCGCGCGTGTAGTCGTGTATGCGGCGAGTATGGCTTCAGTAGCGGTGAAGAAGCGAACGTGGTTCGCGTGTATATGCTGCGTCCCTGGCAGCAGCTAAGTCCTGAGCGGACGTGAAGGCGAGCTTGACTCGCGTGTATATGCTGCGTCTCTGGCAACGGCTAAGTCCTAGGCGGACGTAAATGCGAGCGTGGCTCGCGTGGATATGCTGCGGCTCTGGCAGCGACTAAGTCCTGTGCGGACGTGAAAGCGAGCTTGGCTCGCGTGTATATGCTGCGTTGTATATCCTGGCAGCAGAGTTCCTGAGTACAATGACGACCCGCGCGGAGTCGGGCGCTCGACCGCAATAAGCTCTGGCGGCGTGAATACCCGGTATGTGCAATACTGGAGAAGTCGCGAAGAGAGATGTCCACCGCGGTGGAAGCGTCAAGGCAATCCGAAGTGATCGCGCGAAGCTTTCTCTCAATCCTCGATCGTATTGAGAAGGTGGAGATCCGTGGAGTTACCATATACTTCGTAACCCAAACGCCAACGTGTCCTCGGACACTCTAGAGGCGATAGCCCAACGTGCAAGCGCACTCTAAAGGGCTGCGAAACCTAAATCCGAATGCCAGCGTGTCCGTGACACTCTGAAGGCAGCGATATGTTCAGTGCAGATATGCACACGTATACCTCTAGCGAGGCAAGAGCCCAACGTGCGTACGCACTCAAGAAGGCGATATGAAGCTAACTAGAGCACAAAATAATACCTCAACGAGGCAATGACCTGATGCGCTAACGCAGTCAGAAGGCCTAGAGTCGGCGCCCGCGGCGTCTTATATAGGCGCCGCACCGAAATTTAACTGCGAGCGACGGCCCCGGCTCGGCGCGCTGCCGTGTAGCGGCGGCGGCGTGAAGCCGCGGCGAGCGGTAGTCACCCGCGCGCGGAACGCGCCTGGCGCACGGCCGCCCGCCGCCCACTATCCGTGCGGACGACAGTTCCCGTACGGAACAAATGGCATGTGAGATATTTTAATGATATTACATTAAATTTTTATCGCTAATATATTAACTCACTTACAAAAATCAGGAATCAGAAACACGATTAAAATACATAAGAATATTTCTTTTCGTTTTCTATCGGTTATTTTAAGCAAGGCTTTATTACAAGCCATTCAGAAATAGATAATATCAAAACAAATGTCATCTTGTAATTAGATTTCACAAACATGTACACTTATTTGTAAAAATTTTTTATATTTTTTCTTTGATTTACTTTGGAAAACTGACAACGTTTAATAGGAAACAACTTGTTTTTAATTAGTTATTTAATTAGATATGCATAGTAAATTATTAAATTATTGGATTATCTTCTATTGGGTATCGGATGCTATTCGAAAAATATTTAAATGTTAAACCGTTTTTCAAAGGAATTAGGATTTAAAAAAAACGCGCAATATCTAGAAAAATAGATTTGAAAAATGTAACATTTTCAGGTCGCCAAGGACAAACCGCCCATAGTTGGTTTCATTCCATTTGGTCTTGCATCATGGTTCAATGATTACGTTGGAGGTCCTAATTATCCTACAGTTCGACCTCATTGCCACGTAGGCATTGCAAAACCAGAAGGCTTTTGGCAAAGAACTTGGAATGCTGTTAATTATATATTTGATGATCTAATCCGAAATTATAATTACTTTCCTAAAGCTCAACAGCTCGCTGAGCGTTATATTGGTCACAAAATTAGATCGTTACACGAAATACAAAAAGATATTAGTATTGTACTGGTTAATAGTCATCCTGCATTTGAACCTGCAATTCCTTTACCGCCAAATGCCATAGAAATTGGAGGAATGCATGCACAAAGCTCTCGGACTGTCACCGATAAGGTAACGATATACAATATACGATATGTTACTAAAATATTTCCTTTATCTGAAACATTTTGAAATAAACAATACCAATGAAGATTAGCAAGGATAATGATAAATAAGAATTTTAATAATATTGTGAAGCATGCAAAATATAAAAAATTTCATATTTAAATTAAAATACCATACTTTTACATATCTTTTTCATAATACGTTATTTAGGCGTTATATATACAGGATATTATACGTTATATATACAGGATATTATAAATAAAATAAAAACTAAAGCCTCACATATTCTGTTAACATCCAATTAATTCTCATAACCACATGCGTGACGTATTAGATATTCGATTATTGTAGAACATAATAAGCTTTTTATATTTTAAATGTGCTTTGTTAATAAAAATTTAACATAATAATACATTATTTTGCACACTAAATTCAAGTATGTTACGTAAAGGAAAAATATTCGTTTATGATTATCACTAATTTTATTCTAATATTAATTTCGTAAGCAAATGTCTTCTGAATTTTATTTAAATAAATTTGACAATACAATTGTTCATTTATATTACTAGTAAATAATCTACTTTGTACATATAGGATGTCCTATTTTAGTTGACACAATGAAATATCTCACAGATAATTCCCTTATAGAAATATCATACTAAGAATCATTGATTAATTACTTATTTTCAGTATTAAAAGTACAGTATTTAGTAATATTCTGTGATTCAAATACAGCTTTTAGTACTCAAGTATTTCAATATTTAATGTTACAAATCCTACCTTATGATTGATTTCAATACTTAAATATTGATATGTAATACTTCGTCCATTGATAAAATACTTACACAGAACATTATCAATATTTAAATACTAATATATTAGGACCTTAACTTAGTTTCCGCCCAAAAAATACTGAGAAAAAGCATTTATTCTAAAAAATTTATTTAAATTATTTCAATGAAAGTATTTTCCATCACTTTCTACAACTTTTTGCCATCTTTCTGGCAACTGGGCAATACCATCTCGATAAAACGATGTTTATTTCGAAGCAATCCATTCGTCCACCCATTCTCGCACTTCTTCAACATTTCGGAAGCGTGTACCACTCAAGCCGTGCTGCATCGATCTGAACAAGTGGTAATCAGAAGGCGCTATGTCTGGTGAGTACGCTGGGTGAGGAAGAGTTTCCCATTCGAGCTGCGTCAGTGTTTCTTTGACGGTTTTTCCAGTGTGTGGCCGAGCGTTATCGTGTAAGAGAATAACTTTGCGCCTGTTACTCGCTATTGCTGGTCTTTTTCGCAACAGCTCATCATTCAATTTGTTCAATTG